AATAAAAAAAAAAAATAGAAATAAATGGAAAGAATAAATGTCACCAACGAATCTACCTAAAACAAATCTCGAAAATATATTCTAATTTTTCTCTCACTTCACAATAAAAATTATTATACAAAATCCATTTATATATAAATATATACAATATATATATATACATTATTTCATAAATAAATCTCTACATAAATATCATTTTAATAATCATCGAATATTAAACGAGAGCGTGAGACACGTTTCCCAATAATTTGTTTTTAACTAATAAAAATTGTTTAACATGTATAAACGTCAGGCTCACCTTCTCACACATCCTTTCTATTCAGTGACGGATGATCAATTGAAAAATATATGGCCCCACGTGTATTTAAAAAAAAAAAAAAAAAACGAAAGAGTGTCATTCACACCTTAAATGTAAAAGAAAATTAAGATCAAGGGGATTCCTATGGTGGTTTTTAAGTGACCGTTTAATCCGTCACTGTTTTTATCTTCGTTTCCTTTAGTATCTCTCTCTCTCTCTCTCTCTACTCTTTTTGTCATTCGTTTAGTCTCTGTAAAAAAAAAAAAAAAAAGGAAAAAGAAAAAAAAAACAAAACTGGTTGTTTCTTCCTATGTCCCTTTAGTTTCGACGGGTAGATTCGTGGCTGGACCGATTTCAAAGATCACAACGACCGCCGTACGACCCGTTGCGGGTCGATGAAGCGTTACCCTACAGATACTATAACGCTAATTAGTATCAAGTCAAATATTCCAGGTTATGAATGTAGAATTTCTTCGCTAGATACGTTTTATAACTACGCTATGCATATATATATATATATTATATATAATATAATGTATATATATATATATAATATACATTTATGTAGCACTGATTTTTATCTGATGTACATATACATATATATATATATATATATATATATTTATATATGTACGTATATATCTTGTTTCATTATCATTACAGATATATTACACTTATTTAAAACACACACCCATATATTATGTACAATTAATCATTGAATTTATATTCGTATATATGTACCATTGTCAATTTGAAATTATTCATATTTAAGTTATTAAATTTTTTTCTACGCACAGAGGAAATTTTTTCTTTTTTTTTATTTTTGGCCTGTGTGATAATTTGTTACAAATTTTTATTGTTAGAGAGAAATATATTGGATTGTTAGAAAAGTAAAAGGAAAATTGTTTTTTTTTTTCTCTATGATAATAAGGGTCAAGATATTTTAACTCGAGTCACGTATAGGTGTGTTAAGAAAATTAATCTTGAAAATGAAAATACAATGAATATTTTTCTAAGGAAATAAAATTATGCGTGTATCGAAAACGATATATACACGTTTGTAAGAACGTGTCAAAAATATATTTCTATCGTAGAAAAATTTAATAACATTTTATTGCAAAATTACAAATGAATTGTTTCTAATTGACAATGGGGGAAGAAGTGATACGAATATTTTTATGATTCATTATATATATATCTACACTAATACACGTATAATCGTTAAATTAACTTTGATCAAACTAAACCCTTTTTTTTACTCGATGCATTATAAACGTATAACATAAGACACATACACTTATATACATACATAATTAATAAAATACATGGATAAAATTTATTGAAAAAAAAAAAAACATACACGCATACATAAATACACGATTACAATTACGTATATACACTTACACGTATAGGTACATGAATTAGTTAATTTAGGTAGGGATAGAAATTATTTATTATCGCTAGTAATAACCTCGGTCGAGGCGTATTTTATTGTCATCGTAATTTCATTAGATTAGTAATTATATTTACTTATATATCACGTTTATACGCGGTGCCGAATTACCGATTGAGAATAATTATTTATTAATATAAACGCCGCATCGTTATTTTTTTTCCCTTTAACATAATTTTTTATTTGACTTTTTGAACACATTTCTTCTTTTCTTTTTTTTTTTGCAATCGTATATATCAATGGAATTATTGAAGTATTAATTGATCGAACCTAAATCCTCTTTATGTTTGTTTCTTATTTTTTTCAAATTTATTTAATCCCACGTTCAATTTTTTGGGTATCTTTTTATTCACGATCCGTATAAATCCTATCAATGAAAATATTTAAAAAGTATAGGTCAAATATTAAACAATAATTTTTATTTATTTATCATTTCGTTTATCCAATGCTCGATCAAGTTTTTTCAAAAAAAAAAGAAACCAAATCAAAAGAATAAGAATAGACAATTGAATATACAATCACATCAAATTGATATTTATTCGCGTTATTATTAATAAACAAAATGAATGATAAAACATTCTCAATCGGCCCCAACTCGTCACAGTGTGTATACGTAGATTCGATAAACCACTTGATAATTGTTGTAGTTTAGTTACGTATACGTAAATAACAAATTAGCATATGGATTGATTAAAAATCAATAAACATTATACTACCAATATCATGATTAATATAATGTTTATCGATTAAATTCAATTTTACGCTTGATGGTCATTTCGTATGGAGTTTAGAATCAGATCATATCTATCACGATCTTGATTCAAATCTCGTTACGAAAAAAAACCAAAAGGAACGAATTCGTCACGTGGTAACCTATTATTACATATTTCCTTACGTCATGCATGCAAAACAAAAAAAAATGAATATGTAATATATATATATATATATATTATATTATATTTATATATTACATATTTTTTTTTATATATGATAGTAATCTTAAAAAATACGCGCAGTTTTCGAGCAGATTTGAATTTTTGCCAAATAGGAAGTAGCGAGTATAACCTTTTTGAGTAACTTTAATTAATTACTTACTTATGTCCTTGATTTCCTTAATTGACAAAAAAAAAAAAGAGTACCCTGATCTATCCTATTAAAAAAAAAAGAACAAAATTTGATCCCAGTTATGATCCCCACCTCCCCCCCTGTTCAAAAAGACCTTTTCAAAACGTTTTGTTTTTTTGTTTGTATCACTGTAATATGTGTGATGTTCGGGTGTATTGCAGTTATGTGACGATGGGCATAGATCTAGGCAACCTTGCCGCTCTCAGGACATTTCGAGTCCTCCGAGCCTTGAAGACTGTCGCTATTGTACCAGGTATGCTTAGAGGATAGAAACATTGGGTGTAGATTGTGCAGAATTTTTTAGATGAATTTTTTCCTAGACACTCTTTCTCTATCTCTATCTCTATCTATCTCGTCACGATATTATATCGCTAATTTTTATATTATGATTTTAATTGTTTTTTGGTTTTTGTTTTTTATCTTTTTTTCTTTCTTTTTGTTTTAATTCAATGTTTTATCTTTTTCAATTTTTATAATATAATGCCACTACCATCACAACCACTACCACCACCACCCACCCACCCACCACCATCACCACTTTTGGGAAAATTATCTGTTCGTTCGTTTGTTTGTTTGTTTTTTATATTATTATTATTATCTTCACATATCACGATCATATCTCGTTTTTCACTTACACACAGAAATACTAAATAATAAACCCCCTTTCAATTTACAATTAATTTCTTTATTTATCGAATTATTCGTCACATACGATTTTTATCCCCGATCATTTCTTTCAATTAAAAAGACAATTCATCGACATTTTCTCTCTCTCTCTCTCTCTCTCTCTCTCTTTTTATATACATGCACATATTATATGTATATGTATAAGCACATTTTTCTCATCAGTCAGTCATCATATCATCATCAACACCACCATCACCACCACCACCACCATCATTATTATTATTCATCATTGTCGTCATGAATTTTATTCTCACGACGAAAATGAATAAATGAAAATAAAAAAAAAAAAAAAGAAAGAAATGAATTGACAAAAAGATGAACTTGTCGTAATCGAGTTTAACGCGGTGTTCGATTGAAAAAAAAAACTCAAACAACCGTTTTAATTAACGCGCACGTGGTTAAATCAATTAAAAACACTGTCGTCCCTTTTTTTTTGTTCGTTATCATTGAACAGGTCTGAAAACCATTGTCGGCGCTGTGATAGAGTCCGTGAAGAATCTGCGCGATGTGATAATCCTGACGATGTTCTCCCTGTCCGTTTTTGCGCTGATGGGCCTTCAAATTTACATGGGGGTATTAACGCAAAAGTGTATAAAAAACTTTCCGGTGAACAGCTCCTGGGGTAATCTCACCGACGAAAATTGGGAGAGATTCAATAGCAATGAAAGTACGTATTTTATTTATTTATACTTACTTACTTACTTACTTTTATTGCCAATCATAATAATAATAATAATAATAATAATCAGGTAGTTTCTATTTCTACTTCTATTATCGTGATTTATTTTTCTATTTTTCTACTTGCTGTCAATCCTTTTTCATTTTATCTACCTCTATACTTTTTCTATTCCAATTTTCTATCAAGACCATAGGTATCAACATATAAAATCAAAGATACGAACAACTTCCCCCTTACAAGGATATTATTTTATTGATATTTTCTATCTCTGTTCAGCTAATTGGTACGTAGACGACGCTGGAAACATGCCATTGTGCGGGAATTCGTCGGGAGCTGGGTAAGTTCGTTTCTCTTTTTTTTTTTTTTTTTTTATTTCTTTTTATTTATAATATAATTACTCTTGTATGCATATCGAATAATTTATGACGATTGGTTATCTATTAACGATAACATTAACAATTTGATTATATTCCTATAAAGTTGTATCTTTGGTTATTAATCGATCTCTTTGCTGAAAATATTGAATATTTAATACCATTATAAAAAAGAAACCCATCCCCATTGAATTCTACATATATTATCATTCTTATTACAATCTTTTATTCGATAATTTTAATATACTAACACCCCCAAGCAATTATAATGATTAAAATCGTAATTAATTTGAACAGAAAACAATGGAATAAAACTTCTGTGTTATATTTAATGAATAATAATGAAAAAAATAAATATGATTCGATGATAATTAATGGAGTTATTCGAGTACAGGCAGTGCCTTCCTGGGTACACGTGCTTACAAGGATACGGCGACAACCCAAATTATGGTTACACGAGCTTCGACAGCTTCGGCTGGGCTCTACTTTCTGCCTTTCGTCTAATGACCCAAGACTATTGGGAAAATCTTTATCAACTGGTACTACGATCGGCCGGACCGTGGCACATGCTCTTCTTCATTGTCATCATCTTCCTCGGTTCTTTCTATCTCGTCAACTTGATCCTCGCTATCGTAGCGATGTCATACGACGAGTTGCAAAAGAAGGCGGAAGAGGAGGAGGCTGCCGAAGAGGAAGCAATAAGGGTATGCGAAATAAGGACTCGTATCAAAATGGATTTTGTCAATTTTAGGAAAGCTATCTTACATTTATTATTTTTAATTTATCAAAATCCTTATATTTTTTTTGCGCTACTCGTACGAATTATTTTTAACACTCCACGATTTTATAAGAATTTTCTTTTTATTATTCTATTCTTTTTATTTCACTCTTTCTCTTTTTTTTTTATTATATTAACAAGAAATATCGTAGAGTTAACGTTAACGATTTAATTAATTGATTGAACTATCATATGCAATTTTTAATGCTTTATTTTTGTCGTCTTTCCTATTATTAACAAAACCCACTATACGGTCCTTGGACCCGTCTAAAGTCATACGTAATTGTTCTAAGACTTTTCCCTTTTATTATTTTTACAGTTTTCACTTATTTTAGGTTTGATTTTGAATTAAAATAGGGTAACAAGTCTTGGGACATTTTATGACACGTCTAAACACCGTCCAATTATTTGACAATTTTATTTTTTATATTATATATACGATATATTTTTGTAAAAAGAAGATTATTGTCTTTGTTTATTGAAGTTAATATTGTCACGTTTATTTTTATCTCAATTATACAGGGCAAATGATTCATGTAATTAGAATTTCTTTCTCGATAATTTGATTAATATGAAATTCAATGAATAAAGCTTTGTTATACGTGTGTTATACTTCTTCGAAAGGATTATGTGCAATGAGTAATTGAATGATTAATTATTATCCAAATGACTGGAAGACAATAGTTTTTTTTTAATGGGACTCAATTTTTTGTTCTTCGTAACATAAGACAATACTTCTTTTGTTATAGAAAAAAAAAAAACAGAAATACAATTAGAGTTCCATTTGAAAAACTAAACTAATTAATACTATTCCTAACTTTCGAATAACTTAACACGCATCTCAAACAAAAAATTAATAAATATAATATATGAAAAATTCCCTGTATATATAAATCGTTCTTTATGATTTCATCTTTAGATATCTAAAAAAAAAAGAAAATAATTATCGTTTAGTTAATACAAGTGTCATTTTATTGGACGGACGTGTAAAAATTCAATCCGTGTTGACTTGACGACGGGTCTGAAATCGCAAAGAAAAAAAAAAGAACAAATTTAATCGTAATCGCAATTTGCTAAGTAGAAAAAAAAAGAAAAAGTATAAATTGAAATTTGCCGGTAAGAAAGAAAAAGAAGTAAACTAAATCTTCGATTATTATACTGTCGCGTATATTTGTAAAAAAAATAGAAAAAAAAAGAAAAAAAATAGGATTTTCCAATAGATCATGACGTGTACACGGGGGATATAGTTTGATTTGATTCTGACAGGAAGTCGAAAAAGCGTTGATGGATAAGGAAAATAAATTAGCACAGCAGGCAGCGGCAAGGGAAGCAGCAGCAGCCGCTGCAGCAGCGGCAGCTGATCAAATCGTCAAATCACCATCGGACTTCTCATGTCATAGTTATGAACTATTCGTTGGCCAGGAAAAGGGTAACGACGATAACAACAAGGAGAAGATCAGCATAAGATCTATCGAATCTGTTAGCGAACATAGGATCAAGCAGATCAACAACAACCATAACGCTGCCAATAAAGTGCGGAAAGTCAGCGCCGTAAGTTTTCTTTTTTAAAAACAATTCCTCTTAATTACTAAATTCCTCCACCACCACCACTACCACCACCACCACTACCACCACCATCACCATCCTCAGCCAAAATTTTTCATACATTCTTTCCCAGATACAATTCATCATTGATTTTTTGTGTTCCTTTAGAATAAATCTCTACGAGATGATTAGTTTATTATTAATGTTTTTTATTTATTAACTCGACTCGTATCCGTTTTAATCACGAATTTGAACTACATTGATCTGTACCACTTATCTCTCTCTCTTTTTTTCTCATAATAAATTAATAATAACGATATAGAGGAGAGGGGAGAGGAAAATATTGAGGATGAATTTGGATACGAGACGAGAAGGGATATATAATTGCTTGATTAAACTTTGACAATCGTTAAAACAACTTCCTCCCCGTGTTTTAGTTGTTTTTTTTTTTTTTCTAGTAGAATTATTGAAGCATGTGTGCTAGTCGTATACAAATAAATTGTAATTGTCACTATGCATTTCGTTTCTTTTTTATATTGGATTTGTTACTTTGATTCTATCCCTAAAGTTGAACCACCCTTTACTAACCCCGTCAAGTTCATCACATCGTATATTGTAGATACCCTTTAACCCTTTCGTTGAATGCTTTAGCTCAAGTATCGTCGCATAGTGTACGACCCCCCTCCTACTACATAAGGGTCCATTGGTAACGAGAGGGTTAATAATAATGAATTACACATTCGTAGGGGAATTATTCGTATATTCGTTAAAAAAAAAATATATATATATATATATATTTATTTTCCTCATATATCTGTATACGTGTATCACACATTTAATTTTATTCTTATTATTAAATATATTCGTTCGTAATAGTTGTATGTGTGTGCTCTCTCTCTATCTATCTCTGTCTCTATCTGACTTTGGATTAATTTCAATGTGTATGACGTATGTGCTTATATCTGCAAGTATTATTATAATCTATGTTTCTCTCATCAAACTTATGTGTGTATGTATGTGTGTGTGTGTGTGTGTATTAAATATATATAATCTATATATATATATATATTTAAACATATATATATATACGTATTTATCGAGTGCCTCGTTGGTGTACACAATTAGAAGAGGTTACGAGCCCTTTTGGTAGGAGATATCTTTTCTTGTTTTTTTCTGAAGGTCTCTCGCGCCGCTAATGGCCAGTTTACTTATGTCTACCAGGAAAGTCTCCGGAAGGTACGTGTGTTTCACGACATGTGTCGTCTCTCTCACCATTTCGACCCGTACGTACATACAATCGCATCGTACAAACAAAGAAAGAAACAATTCAATTAAAAAATTTTATGAGAATTATATATATATATATTTATGAGATTTATATAGAAAAATTATATATATATATATATATTTATGAGATTTATATAGAAAAATTATATAATATATTATTTTATTATTATTATATATATGTATAAGTTGATTCCAAAGCCAATACGATTAACCCTTTGAGTACTATGGACGCATATATGCGTTTGGTAAAAGTTGATAAAAGTTAATGTAAAATAATGTAATATTTTTCTTTTATTTTGATCTGATGAAAATAATATTGTGAGAAAGACAAAAATTGTAATTATTAAATATAATTTATTAATATTAACATTTGGTCATATTAATAATAAATTACTTTATTCATAGAAAACACTTCGGTTAAAAGTATTCAGTACTCAAAGGGTTAAGTAAACCTTTTTTACGATATTTTACTGATTTTTCTAAATCTAATCAAATAATATTTTGTTTTTTGTTCGTTGCTTGTTTTAATTCACCTGTAATATCTTTTATATATACCATCTTAATCAAATCAAAAAAATTGCAAACTTTTCTTCTAAATTATCTATCATTATTTTTCTTAATCAATTTGTTTTGTTGTTGTTTTTTTTTCATGACTTAAAACACGCATTGGCTTTTGATCGACTTATATATTATTCGTCATTCTAATTATTCTTCTAACAACATTTTCTCGCGCGAATCATCTTCCTTTTTTTCGATACTCATCATCAAACTAAATATTTATTTATTTAAAAAAAAAAAAAAAAAAGAAAAAAGAAAAGGGAGGAAGAACGAGTGAAACGAATGCACTTCGGGGAGGGGGTTGGGTTGGGTTGAGGGGAGGGGTAGGTAAATATTGTCTTCATATTTGTCCGAGATATATATTCCCACATATGTTAGTGATAATAATTTCGTATAATCCATGGTGTCGAGTGGTTTGAAATATGTTTGATTAAAGAAAATATGGATTAACGAATGGAAAAAAAAGAAGAAAGAGACGACTGGTTATAGAACGGTTTGTCAGAGTATTTAGAATATTATTGTTAAACGACACCTATATCAATCGATGGTCACCTGTTTTATATATTTTTATATATATCTTTTTTATTTTTCCAACAAAATATTTCATGGTTCTCTACTCTCTCTTTCTCTCTTTCTCTCTTTCTCTTTCTCTCTCTCTCTCTCTCTTTTTACATGTTTTGTATTCTCAATATTAATCCTAATAACTCACAATGGCGGATTAAACGATCGAGTTTTTCAATTATCTTCTCATCATATGTTTCTTTCATTTATATAATAAATTAATTCAAATGTGTGTGTGTGTTATGAGATGATATAATCACAGTGCAATAATGATTTAACTTATCAATTATTAATATTAACACATTCGAAACGATAATCTTCTCAGTGATGATAGAATAACTCTTCGTTTTTATGAAAATAATTTTAATTGATTATTAAATATATATATTCGATTAAAAAAATCATTATATTAAAAGCTCTTCATTCGATTTAATCTGCCATTGCAATAAAAGCCCTAATATAAATAGAACAAATGATCCGAGAGACACATCCCAACACACATTCATTAACACGTGCACAACCTGTAATTAATATGCCAACGGGGAAAAAGAAAAAGAGAAAGAGAGAAAGAGAAAAATAAAAAAGAGAAAAAGAAAGAGAGAGAGAGAGAGAGAGAAAGAAAGATAAAGAGAAAGAGAAAAGCGGTGGTTCGGTTTTTGTTGTTATTACAGGCGAGCCTTAGCCTACCGGGTTCACCTTTCAATCTTCGACGAAGTAGTCGTGGAAGTCATCAATTTACGATACGCAATGGTCGTGGCCGATTCGTTGGTCCACCAGGTGGTGATAGAAAACCCCTTGTATTATCGACCTATTTGGATGCCCAAGAACATTTGCCTTATGCCGACGATTCTAATGCCGTCACCCCGATGTCAGAAGAAAATGGCACGATCGTTGTACCAGTATATTATGCTAATCTTGGCTCGAGGCATTCCTCTTATACATCACACGCATCAAGATTATCCTACACCTCCCATGGTGACCTTCTAGGTGGTATTGCCAATGCAATCGGCAAACCGATGACCAAGGAAAGTCGATTGAGAAGTAGATCGGTTAGGCCACCATCCGTTAATGGTCATCTTACCGATTGTAATCAAAAGTTTCATTGCGTGAGTTAACATTTATTTTATCTTTATTATTATTCAATTAGTTGTCTGTTTTTATATAATAAAATTATTAATAATTAGTCAGTTGTTGTTTATCTCGTCGAAAAATACAATTCTTAAATAAGATGGTATCATAGGTAATTTGGATAATTAAAAAAAGAAGTAGAATTTAATTTTGATAAGTTGGACTTTTCGCGTCCCTTTATTGGGGAGTTATTCAGCAACTTAATCTTTACAGTTCATCGTCTTTTTTCTTTATAAGTAGACATACATTTTTATTGTTATTTTTAATAGTCGAAACACAAAACATCTACACTTCGTTAATAATTAATCCTTTGAATACTGTATTCAAATTTGTCAACCCTAATTTAAAATGATACCAGACTTACTGTACCTAACCCTGTGCATTTCTTTAATATTCAACATTTTGCTACAATGAATAATATTGAATAATCTATGTGTGATTTTTATAGGAAAGCGATTTGGAAAGTGATCCCATGGGAAAAGCGAAGCAACAAGATAATCCTTTCATCGAACCTTCCCAACAACACGCCGTCGTCGATATGAAGGGTAAGAGATCGAATAACAAATCTTTTCCCATAAAAAAGAAAAAAAAAAAGAAAAAAAAAGACAAAACAAAATTAGAACAAAATAAAAAGAAAAAATCTAAAGTAAACAAAAAAATTCGTATATAACAAACACCATACCCACCACACGTTGGCGGCAAATAGCAAATGTGTCCATGAAATTTCATTTAAGTGTATCCTCTCATCTTTCATCTGTCATATTATCTCATTTGTTGACGACGCATCTCATTTCGTTTATTTTAATCGGATCAACAAAAAAAATAAAAAATGAAAAACAAAAAGAAAAAAAAAAAACAAAAAAAAAATACAACTTTCACAGCATACACACACACGCGTATCTGTTTTTTATCTGGTTTAATTAGTGTGATAAGCAGCACCAATCTCACCGTGTGACGTACGTACCCCTAGGTACACTCTTTTTTGTCTTCTTTCCTTTCACAGATGTGATGGTGCTGAACGATATTATCGAGCAAGCAGCAGGACGTCAAAGCAGAACACCCGAGCAAGGAGGTAATGACGTGAGATCGACTCATTCGAGCAAGATGTTTCTTTTTTTTTTTTTTTTAATCTTCTCTTTTTTCACCACCCATCTATCTATCTATCTATCTATCTATCTATCTATCTCCTTCTATGATTATCTGTCACCCTTGTCGCAATTGTGCATATCTTCTTGTCTATCGTGCGATGCATAATCCCGTCGTTCGATGTGTATTATTATTATTATATTCGTCCTACTATTACTATTACTATTACTATTACTATTATCCGTCAAATTTATACCTTTTGATTATTATTTTTTTTTTTTTGTATTATACATACATACACACGTATTACACATAGAGATATATTACAATTGATTATATTTAAATATCCTAGGTAATGTTGAACGTTTACTTGGCTGCGCGTGTTATTTATCTATCTATCTATTTATCTATTTATTTTTCTATATTGTAGATTATATTGATTGGGGTGGGATCGTTCTCAAATTTTTCTTTCTTTTTTTTTTTTTTGTTCTCATTAATTTTATACACGTATAATTTTACCGAATAATAATTTTATTAACACGAGTATATTATAAAAATATAAATAGACGAGAACGGTATTATTATTATTATTACAATTAGATAGATAGGATCTTAAAAAAAAAAAAAAAAAGCAATTGTAAAAAATTGTATATATATTTTTCTCGATATTACATAGGAGGAGAATTATGTGAAATGTATTTGTACTTTTGGGGAAATAGAGTTTGTCAGTTTGTATTTTGTCTACACGGTCAGGGATTTAGCGTTTTATCTCGTTGCGGCTGCACGAAATATTTCAAGCTTTCGTATTACATACATACAATAGTCTATAGATATATATATATATATATATATTTGTATATATATAGGGTGGCTTCCTTTATCGTCTCATGGTTTAACTGACAATATGAAAAGATTTATTTCATTTCTATAGATGTGAGAATTCTCGAATATAGTTTTTTTTTATAGATACTTATATTTTCAACATAATCGATTTGAAATATTATTCGAATGTTCATTGAATCTGAATTAAATCTTTGTTAAATAACGATCAATACAAATAAATTATTACATCGAAGAAATATTAATTACGAATTGTTGCATCGATATGAATTTTTAATAAAAGTAAACGTTTATTATAATAATAATAATAATAATAATAATAATTGCCACCCTCTCTGTATGCATAATTTTAGATTTCATTTAATCTTCGCGATCAAGCAGAATTTCCTTTTAGGATATTTTCCAGATCATTTTTCTTATTATTACATTGCCCACCTGCTTTATTATTCGTCGCGAATTCAAATCCAATTGCAGCAGCTGCAGCAGCACCACCACCACCACCACCAACCAACCAACCAATCAAGCAGCTACTTATATGGCTGGGTTTTGCATTTGCACAATTATTTCATAATTAATTAAATAGAAAAAACGCGCGTGTTGCAATCTGAACGAAATTTTTTAACGCGAAACATACACTTCGCCAAAATTTTCTCGTTTTCGTTTCGATTATTATTATTATTTTGTTTTATATTTTTATTTTTATTTTTTTCTATCTCTCCTCTCATGTAATGTCAATAATCTCTTCTACATTCCTTTATTTTTTTTTTGAAATTGATTGTTAACCAGCACGCTAATTTGTATCATCGTACACGATTGCACCGTTAATTCGAAACAAAATCCAAAATTATTTCCTCGAATGTTGCTTTTTGTTCGTGTAATAAATACAAATTTGAATTAAAAAAAAAAAAAAATAAAACACGTACGACTTTATCTTCGTTGTTTCATTTGACTCGTACAATTTGAAGAATTATATATGACGATCAAGATAGTTTAGGAAATGAATTAATCAATAATATCAATTAATACAACGAAGATAATTTCGTCAAAGTGTTGCAGCATGCAATAGTTAATGCATTATTCTCATTTTCACTTTAATTTCCATTACATTTATTTTTAATAACAAATATACTTTCTCTATCTTAGAATCATCTTGTTATTTTTTTGTTCTCTCTCTCTCTCTCTCGTTTCCCCCCTTCCCAAAATACTTTCTTCGTTTAATTAATTTCAACTTGTTCTCGCTTTTCCCATTAATCGTTTATCTCATCCAGCTTTTTGCTTGATAGCTTGTTCACCTCTGCCCGTGTTAAATTTTATTAAGAAAAAAAAAAAAAAAATTAAACGTGCTTGAGAAGAGATTACTTACGATAATCGAACAATAATTAATAGAAAAAGAAAAAAAAAAAGAAATAAAAACAAGAACAAAAGAAAAAATAGAAAAGAAAAACACACGAATAATAATATTACTAATACTAATAATTAATTATTTATATAAAAAAAAAAAAAACCTCTTTCCCCAAAAAGAGTGGTGCCAGACAAAATAACTAACGCGCGTTACAGTTTCGACCTATTACTTTCCGACAGACGACGATGAGGAAGGGCCCACGTTAAAGGAGAAAATATTATCCGGGATCATACGTTGCATCGATATCTTCTGCGTTTGGGATTGCTGTTGGCTTTGGCTCGAGATTCAAAAATACGTCGCACTTCTGGTATTCGATCCGTTCGTAGAACTCTTCATTACACTTTGTATCGTCGTCAATACACTTTTCATGGCATTGGATCATCACGATATGGACAAGGATATGGAAAAAGTTCTTAAATCTGGTAACTATGTAAGTATACCACCAAAATAAAATAACGTCATCGTTTTAAAATGTCTATTTAATTAATTCAATATCTGAATTAAAAAGGGTTTATGTTTTTCATCGAAATTTATTTCTCTGGAATATAATTCTATTTGATATAATTTAAGATTGGATTTTTCTATGGTGTATGGTAACATTCTACTTGTTTCTCTGTTGTAAAGTTTGAGTATAACATAAGCCCCTTGTTTTTTTTTTTTCTGATACCTATTTAATTATTTTCAATTGAGATATATCGTTCAATGATGAATTATTTATATATCAGAGACATGGTCATTATTGTTTCCTTTTTTATTATTGTTATTTCTAATTTTAAATCAATCTCTTTCTATATATATATATATATATATATGCATATATCATTTTATTATTAAATACAATTTATATTCCGGGATATAAAATAATAAGTAATCCAAGTTCATTGTTAAATATATTTTACTTGTTTCTCTCTATCCACGAACAAAATAATTTTTCTTGGTTGTTCTGTGCAAATCCACCCACCCACCCATCCATCCACCACTCCTCTTTAATATTAACGCCCAGAGCAGGTACGTGTCCTATTTATCCTACTCCTGAACAAGGAAGTACATAAAACGTAGTAATATTAAAACGAGTATGCATTTTGATATGTAAATTTCTATAAAGACAAATAAAATAGTAAAGAAAAATAAGAACAGAGATTGTATATGATATATATATACATATACATATATAAATTTACACGTCTCTGATATATTTAACATCTAAGTTAATGAAAAACAAAACAAAACAAAAAATAATAATTAAAAAGAAAGAATATTTTTGTGTTTACCAATACACACTCGGGTGAGAATAATTAAATATTAATAAAAAAAAAAATCAATCTTATTAAACATTTCAACATAGTTCTTCACGGCTACATTCGCAATCGAAGCAACGTTCAAGCTGATAGCTATGAGCCCGAAGTTTTATTTTCAAGAGGGTTGGAACATATTCGACTTCATCATCGTCGCCCTATCCTTACTCGAGTTAGGTTTGGAAGGTGTACAAGGTCTTTCGGTATTGCGATCCTTTCGATTGGTAAGTACAATCTTTGCAATTGTTAAATAACAACATTCGATTCGAAATTTGGAATTCTTTCGTTACAACGTGTTAGTATTATACGTATTGTTATATTGGTAAGATCCCTAAATGGGTTAGTAGGTCATTCATATATAGATGACTTTGTAAATACGCTAGTAACGAAAGGATTAATAAATAATATAATAGAAATAAAAAAAAGTAACTAATTTATATAATAAAATGAAAAAAATAAAATCATTTCGTTTAATTCGAAATATATATAATAAATGAATAAATTATTTTGTTCTCGATTCTCAATATATATAGCTGAGAGTGTTCAAACTGGCAAAATCATGGCCCACGTTAAATCTACTGATATCCATCATGGGTAGGACAGTTGGTGCCTTGGGTAATTTAACGTTCGTCTTGTGTATCATCATTTTCATCTTCGCCGTGATGGGTATGCAATTGTTCGGTAAAAATTACACCGATCACGTCGATCGATTCCCGGGTGGGGATCTACCAAGGTGGAACTTTACCGATTTCATGCATTCCTTTATGATCGTATTTCGTGTCTTATGCGGAGAATGGATCGAATCAATGTGGGATTGTATGTTAGTTGGAGACGTTTCTTGTATACCCTTCTTCCTCGCTACCGTCGTCATCGGTAACCTTGTTGTACGTATATTATATATTAATTAGAATAATTATTAAGGGGTTACATGGGTTTGGGACTTTCCAACAAATGTTTTTTGTTTTGAATTTTGGATGAAAGATTTTCGTTTTTTTTTTTTCATACAATCGAATTTTAAGAAACCAAAATGTGATGCAAATTGTAACGAAATTTGAATGTTCTTGCTAAAAATGTTGCCAAAAATCCAAATTTCAATTATTTTTCTTTTTCCTTCGTCCAGTTTCTAGTTTTAAGTATTAACTAAAAGATTCTATTTTTTCAACTGAAAACCCCTCACCGTTTATGAGTTCTGCTATCAACGCGAAAACACTTTTTTTTCGGTGGGGTCACCGGAAATGACGTCGCAATGGCTGAGTTTAAAATATTTTTCAACGAAAATTTCAGAAAATATTCTTTAAATATGTATCTTAAATGTTATAAAAAGTTTGAATAAGAATTCCATTTTTTATATATAAAAAAAAAATTGTTGAAAATATGCTATTTTTTCCCGGTGTAAACCCATGTAACCCCAATAATAATATCCAATTGATTGCACGATACGCGAATTGAAATAGTTCAATTGGTAATAAATCTATTTTATTAACAGGTGCTGAATCTCTTCTTGGCCCTGTTGCTGAGCAATTTCGGTTCATCGAATTTATCAGCACCGACTGCGGACAACGACACGAACAAGATCGCCGAAGCGATAGATCGTATAGCACGTTTCGTAAAATGGATCAAGCGAAATTTCCTTAATCTTGCTAAATTGATGCGAGCCAAATTCACCAATCAGATATCCGATCAGGCGCCAGGTGAGGGACCGTCCAACAGTTGGAAAGAAGGTTTATATCCAATCAGATCGCTTGCTGTGTGCGCTGTGTAGTTCGTGGCACTGTTTTATTCGGTTCGGCTTTTTATTCATTATTACACTTTTTTTTCTTTTTTTTTTTTTTTTTTTTAATCGGCTATTTTCAATGTCAGTCAACGTTTCTTTTCTTTTCCCTTCTCCCTTTTCCCTCCATCCTTCTTTATCTCCGGTGTTTATTTCATTTTTTTTCGTTTGATTATATCAAAACTAAACAACTCAAATTTACACTACGCGTTATATTTTTGATTGTTCTCTCGTCCAATTAAAAAAAAAAAAACAAACAAACAAACAAATTGATCGTTGACTGACACGTTTTTTCTCGTTAATTACGCAAACAATTCTTTTTTTCTGATATTTTTGGCTATCTTATTTCTTTCATTTATTTTTACAATTTTTTTTTCGCGAATTCGAGTTCCGAATAGGATTTGAAAGAAATATATCAAATGAATCAACAACACGACGGGCGTAATGATTGATTGTTGGGTGGGATTTTTTTTTCTATATAAAATATACAAACAAATTTCTCGGGTATTAAAAACGTATGAAGAAATAATTAAAAAAGAATTTTATTCATTTTGCTTCGCTATTTAGCCGCCTGGCAGTTATATGTTGCTTCGCTCGTTAATTTGGGTCCGCGTATTTCGTTTGGAAAGGTATCAGCCGTATGCATTTCGGAAATGATTCTAACAACAGCAGGAAATTCTTATGATTGGGTGGGTGTTCGAGTTTCATTCCAACTCGGATAATGGAATCGAACGGATTCCTTTCGATTATTATCATCGAACGATATTATCGATCGCGAGAATACGATTAAAGTAGAGGTAGAATAGTTGACAATTTATAACAAGTGATATCGATAAGGAATATATTTTATTTTTTTAATATAATACCATAGGTAAAATATATTATTACGTTTAGAAAAGTGTGGAAAGATCTTTAATCACGTGTGTAAAAAATACTTTTGTTTTTTTTTTTTTTTTTTWTAGAAAAGAATGACATAAATCTATATTGCATATATCATGTTATCATTGTTGTCAAATTAATGTTTATTATTTCTTATCGATATCACACACTGCAAAGAATGACGTAGAAGAAGAAGTGTTCCTTCTTTTTTTTTTTTTTTAAAAACGATACAAAATAATACAAAGCAAGGAACACGAAGAATGACTCGAGTCTGATGCTCTTGCATGCCGACTACAAAATTTTATTCGACACGAATGAGAAAAGAATTGAAACGACACAATTTGTTTCTTTCTCTCTCTCTCTCTCTCTCTATCTTTCTCTCTAGTATTTTTTTTTATATTGCATTTCGAGTATCTTCGTTAATAAAAAAAACTGTACTGTATACCTATTAACGAAAGGACCAAACAAAACAAAACAAATAACAGTGAAGAAGATGAAGACAAAAAAAAAAGTAGTTGGTCAAACGACGCACGTTCTTATTCAAATTGCAATTTTACGAAAAAAAAAAAAAAAAAAAGAAGAAAAAAAAAAGGGCGGGTTAGATTTGTTGTGTGACTGTGCAGATGGAATTGACCGAGATGGAGACCTAGATCTTGCAGATAGCGATTTGGAAGCTTACAGAGACAAGAAGAGTGCGAAGGAATTGAATCAACTCGAGGTAGCCATTGGTGACGGAATGGAATTTACAATTCATGGTAAGACTGTCTTTCCTCAAATCTTCATTGAAAAAAAAAAACAAAAAAAATATCCCCAAAAAAGAATTCAATAGAATTATTTTTTCGTATACCATCACTTGTGATTTTCTTTTCGAAGGAGATCTGAAGAATAAATTGAAAAAGGGCAAATTGTGCATGAATAACACCAAAGTCATTGGGAATTCGATAAATCATCGGGATTATAGATTAGACAACGATTATATTAATCAAAACGAAGAGGACACGTTTAGGTTTGTATTATAATAATTATCTATTATAATTCTACATTTTTTTTTCCTTCCATGTGTGTGTAAAAAAAAAAAAAAAAAAGGATCGTACACGCAATGCAACGATTCGTAATCTATATCTATGTTCGTTTGATTATATTTTTTCTAGCAACAAATCGTATGGCAGCCATAAAAATCGGCCGTTCAAGGATGAAAGTCATAAAGGTAGTATGGATTTGTTGAACGGAGAAGAAAAAAAGGATGCCTGTAAAGAAGATCTCGAACAGGACGAAGGTAATATCCTTAAATTTGAAAAGCTTCATTTGAAAACCATCATTATTACAATTTGAATTCGTTTAGACATGGGAGAAGAAGGTGACGAAGGTGATGATATAATGGGAAGTGAAATCATACACGCGGATAAGGATCCCATTAATTCTGAGTATCCGGCCGATTGTTGTCCAGAAAATTGTTATAAAAAATTCCCATTTTTGGCTGGGGACGACGATGCACCGTTTTGGCAAGGTTGGACGAATTTGAGATTGAAAACTTTCCAATTGATCGAGAACAAATATTTCGAGAGTGCCGTTATCACGATGATCCTTTTAAGTAGTTTAGCTCTCGTAAGTATATTTCATTTAATTATTTATTAAATATATATTTGTTAAACTTAATTAAATTATACAATTTATTTCATCGTTTTTATATTCTAATTTTTTATTGAATTATACTTGAATATATATATATATATATATATTATATGAATAACTGTGTAATATAAGAAATATAATTGAATTAGTTAATAAATAAATTTCAATATATTTCTGTATAATTCATATAAAATTCAATGAATGATTTTAAAATGAATAAATGTTTTTTTTTTTTTCTTATTTGATTAAGGCCTTGGAGGATGTTCACTTGCAGCAACGACCCATCCTGCAAGATATTCTCTATTACATGGACAGAATTTTCACAGTGATTTTCTTCCTTGAGATGTTGATCAAATGGTTGGCCCTTGGTTTCAAGAAATATTTCACGAATGCTTGGTGCTGGCTCGATTTCATTATCGTCATGGTAAGTTACCAATTTTTATTATCATCATCCTTTTAAACCTGTATACATGTCTGATTGTATTACCGCTAAGTTTTCCTTAGAACGCGTGTAATCTATATTATTTTTAATTACATTTAATAATGTGACTAAGTTTTTCAATAATATTAAGTATTACGATTACACAAGTTCTTTCCACCAAATATCAACATTTTACCCAACATCATCGAACAATTTCGACTCGATCGAGTAACGAATATTAAAAATTCTAAATAAATTAACTAATTATTTTTTGAAAATATTGTAATCAAAACAAATCTAAAAGAAATCGTTCGAATGTACAAAACGAGATAAAAACTCTACTTTACGTGTGTCAACGTTACTAAATTCGAGCACTAGTAAAATATATTAATCCTTTGTATAATTCCAACAAAAATATAATAATACATTATATACACCTTTAAAAAGGAAAAAAACAAAAGAAATAAAAATTAAAAACAATGTCAAGCTAGTATATAAAAAAAACAAATAAAAATAGTGCTCGAATGAAGTGATTAGTCCTAAGTCTTTTCAAATTGTTTTCTCCCACAAAAATCTCATCCATGAGAATATTTATCCGTTTTCATTTCCTATTTATCTATATATCTATCTATCTATCTATCTATCTATCTATCTATCTTTTTATCTATATCCGTCTCTTTCTACTTCTATTTCTACTTCTATTTCTATTTCTAATTCTATTTCTTTAAACCCATGATCAACCTAACAATCCCACCCCCTTGTCTACCCCCCCCCCGAAAAAAAAGAAATAAAAATCCTAAACAAATATCACTAGGAACCGTACGTGGAAGCTTCCAGTGGATTTCTCTTAATCGATCACGCTATGTATAACCGTTAAGGTATAGCATTTAAAACGTAAGATGCATCATATATGACAAATGTTTAATGACAACAGCTATCACTGATCAACTTGGGTGCAATCTGGGCCGGCGCTGCCGACATCCCGGCCTTCCGTTCGATGAGAACACTGAGGGCCTTGAGGCCTTTACGAGCAGTCTCGCGATGGGAGGGCATGAAAGTAAGTCATCGGTCTAGACGAGGACTTGACAAACCAAAATAACAAATCAAAAACTTTAAATAATATCAAAATGAAAAGCCTCGTGTCTTCTATTATCAACGATTTATAATAATCGAATCGAAACACAATTTTTTTTTATTAATCGAATCTAACTAAACGATCGACGAATCGATTACACGAATTTTATATCACATTTAGATTTATCTCAAATAAAATATAAATAAAAAAAAAAAAGATAATTAGAAGACGAGAGACGGGATAAAATAATTAGAGGTGTGTAATATATTTTTTTTTCTTTTTATTTCTATACTATATTTATTTTATTTAGAATTTTCTCTCTCTATCTCTCTCTCTCTCTCTCTCTCTCTCTCTCTTTCTATGTAGCCTAAATCGAACAACCGTAAACACGCGAAAGAAAAAAGTTATTAAAAGCCTAAGAGAAAGGGTTAACAAAAGCAAAAAGAAAAAATCATTCCAAACGAGAAACCCTGACGAATCGAATGAAATTTCTGACTGAACGGAATATAAAATGAACAAGGAAAAAAAGAAAAAGAAAAAGAAAACGAAAAAAAAAAAAAAAGAATCTAATTATATATAAAATACGCGAGAGAAAAAAAAAAAAGAAAAGGGAAAAAATATGTATATGTAATAATCTCTAAAGATATATAATATTATAATATATAAATAATTATAAATAAATTTCTATATATATATATATTATAAAATAATGCCTAAGGCGAAATTTGTAGCGCATACTGTGGTGTGCTTTTAACCAATGTGCAGAGGTACAATACACTGGCGTCTCTACTTGGTGTCTGCACTGATTATATTGGAATATTTGTCGTACTATAAGCCTAACGCCTATGTACGCCTTTTTCTAACGAAAATCTTTGGTACCAGTGATCGTTGTGCAAAATAAGTATTTACGTTTATATATATTTGTATATTTAAACGTTACTACTACAAACGACGTATTTTTATATTTAAATCCCCATTTCTCGTGCAATTATGTATATATACAACATATATGCATAATTAATAATTTATCTAGATGCTTTATGTGTAAGTGTACGAAGCCACCAGACGCCCAACGATGTGTGCGAGCCCTTTTTTTTTTTTTTCTTCTTTATAATTATTTTTCTTTTGTCTTTCTCTCTAAAATGAGAAAAAAAAGTGTGTAAAACAGATATATTTTTTAAATCTTTCTCTTATTATCTATCTATCTATCTATCTATCTATCTATCTATCTATTTCTATCGAGACGCACGGACGCTTATCGATGTTGTTGTTTTCATTTATTTCTCTCTTCTCTCTCTCTCTCTCTATCTCTCTCTTTTCCTTCCTAGTTAAAGAAAAGAAAAAAAAAAGGAAAATGAAACGAAATTGAACGAAGCAAATCGTTACTCGAGATCCCCCCCCCCGTTATATTTAATTATCAAGGCTTGAACAATCCGCTAGGCAACTTCATTGTTTATGTAATTATTTATGTAACCCTTTTGCCGTGCGTCTCCGTGTCAAGTATTACGAACCCTTAACACGTATGTTTCAGGATCGTCGATGATCGTCGTCTTCGTCGTCGTCTATGTTTGCTCCTGTATATTCTCATATACTAATTATTCCTTGCTATCAATCTATCTTTCTTTATCTATCTATCTATCTATCTATCTATCTATCTATCTATCTTTGTTTCTATATACAATGAATCACAGTATTATTCACAACACCCCCACTGTAATTTGACAAAATTGATATTAAACTTGTATAAGATATTTTTATATTATTCTACATACACAATATATAAAATGAAATCAGTATTCTATTTCTTTTAATAACTTGTAAAAATTATGTCAAAGTATTTCAATTCCATACTTAATAATTTTTGTTAGAATTTACAGTAGGGTTGGGTGATCATTTACCAGAGTGTGACTCATTGAATATATATACATATATCCTCCTAATTATTTATGATTACGATTATTGTTGAACCGCTACGTGTGTGTGCCAATATCTGGGCTCTGTCCAGCCGCCTCTTATTCCTTCTTTTACTTATTTGTCGTATCTATTACACTGTGTGCGTATATATATTATATATATATAATTATTATTATTATTATTATTATTGTTATTCCATATATCTATATATCTATATATATATATATATATTTATATATAAATAAATATATAAATATATATATCAAAAAGTGAGCTATATACCCAACAGATATCTCATCAGGATCCCGTTGTGTCTCTGCTTGCTACTACTGTCGAAGGAACGTCTCCAATGCAGATTTGCGAGAGAATTTTTTGACAGCCCTGGAACTCCGTCCGTCGTCACATCCGTCAAACTTTCTATATCTCTCTCTCTCTCTCTCTCTCTCACTCTATTTTCCTATTTTTCTCAATCTTTCTTTCTTTCTATCTATCTATCTCTTTTTATCTCTTCTGTTTCTTTCTTTAACCATTCCATCTCTAAACCCCCCTGAATATTATCCTTCTACTATCTTTCTCTATGTCTCTCTCTCTTTATATATATATATGTATATATATATATATAAATATATCTGTACATATATACAGGATGTACCATTTAAATTGATATGCAGGTTACAAAATTATTTGATTTAATGTCTCAATTACCAATTTAATCATTTAATTAAACATTAAGAAAAGAATTTTATTAAAAATTTATAAAAAAAAAAAAAAAATAAAGCAAACGTAAAAAACATTTTAAATGGTTCAATTTGTATATCTTTTTTTTTTTCTGTATCTATCAATCTTCTGTCTATCTTTGTTATATATCCATCTATTGACCTATCCCCCCCCCCATAATCTAAATAATTAACAATTCCGAATATTATTATTATTATTGGTAGGAATATTAGCTTCCTCAAAAAATGGATTCTATAAAAAAAAAATAGAACCAAAAATTTCCAAACAAATTTTCCATTCCCGTAGTCTGTCTACATCTTTGCTGTGATTCGCTCTCGTTTCTCGCTCGCAGGTGTCGCTCATTAACTTCGTAGCGTCGCTCTGTGGCGCTGGCGGGATCCAAGCCTTCAAAACAATGAGGACCCTAAGGGCCCTAAGGCCACTCAGGGCGATGTCTAGAATGCAGGGGATGCGGGTATGTAGCCCTACGTCTCAGCGGACCTTGTCACTTGCTCTTTGACATTTTTTCCAAATTTTACCATTTCTCTTCGAGTTATTTCCATTATTTATTTATAAACATATACAAATATACATATATACATATACATATATATGATATATATATATATATATGATATGTATATTTATTTATTCCATACGATTTTTCATGACCATCAATTTAGTTGATGTATTATTAGAATTCCGATTTCGTGTTTTCTAAGCAATACAAGACAAAACAACAAAATTTTTTACAGCAAAAAAAAATAAAAAAAAATAGAAAAGAAACAAATTAAACGAAAGGACCGTAAACGTGTCTTTCTGTTTCTCTCTATCTATCTTTCTCTCTCTCTCTCTCTCTATCTCTCTTTTTCTTTCTTACTTTCTTTCTATCTATCTATCTATCTTTCTATTTCTCTTTCTATTTCTCTCTTTCTCCCTCTGCGAATGCTCGAAATATCGAGATCTCGAGTATTTCTTGATATGGATGAAAGAGAAGAAAAAACAAAATCAACCTTATTAGTCCCACCCCCTTTCTCCCACTTGAGTTCGACTCATCTTCGTAAAATTGTCACCTTAATATAACCCCCCATCAATTTTCCTATCAAAAATCTACACCTGGAATACCTTCCCTTCTTCTTTCACCACTTTCTCAAAACCCACCACCACCACCCTCACCAACACCACCACCACGTTTATCTTATTCTCATGCACGTGAATATGCATATTATCCGAGCGATTATGATCGTCGCGAATGCACACAGCTAGCTTGGCGGAACATATTAGAAACTTGCATACGCGTAGTAGAGAATTAAATTTATTAGATTAGTTATAGATATATTAGACGAGATGCAATAATCATTTTTATAAAACACGCAATAGTAGTGACAACAGCCAGCAACAGCTACAATTACAAATACAACAATTACAAATACAACAATTACAAAATACAACAATTACAACTACAGCTACAGCAGCAGCAACAGCAGCAGCAGCAGCAGCATAATACCACGATCTTGATTTAAATATTAACAAAATAAAATATTATAATAATATGATATATATATATGTATATATTATTTCTATCGGTAACAAAAAATTTATTATTCTCTTTCGTTATCTTCTACTATATTATTTTATTTTAATCTTTTCCCACAATTTTGCAAATGAATTATAATACCCAAATGATAATAGTGTCGAATTAGAAGTTACCCTTTTTCCACAAGATTCTCTACTGTTCTTTATTATATATTTATTTTGTTATTTTCACGAATCACGAATTTCAATTGATTTTCATTCGAATTGAAGATTGAACATTTTTCTTTTTTTTTTTTTAAATAATAATGGTCTATAATAAAAGCACGTAGTACGAGCTGAGAGTTATCTAATAGAATTAGAATAATCAAAAATAAGAGAGGACCGATTCCTCTTTTGAATCTTTCTACTTAATATCTTTCTATTTCTATCTATTTCTCTCACTCTCTTTCTTCCTGTCTATCTCTATCTCTCTCTATCTCTTTTTCTCTCTCTCTCTCTCTCTCTATCTATCTATTTCTATCTTCCTATTTATCTATATTATTTGTCCCTTATAAAAAAGCAAGATCGTTACGTGACATATAATACATCGTTTCAACATAAAACTGCAACACAAGGTCGCTGAGGCACTGGGTGTAGAGTTATTGTCATGCCCACGCCCTGACACCATTTATCTAATTTTTATAGTAGCTCGCTCTGCAACTATCTATTTATTTCTTCTTACTGCTATCTCTTTCTTCTTAAAATTAATTAATCAATCAATCAATCAATCAATCAATCAATCAATCGATCTATTTCGATTTCATACAAACCTCCACTGTCTCTCTCCCACTCTCAATATTTTCAATTTTACCTTGCTTACTATTTCTATTATATCTATCTATCTATCTTTCCTTATTTATTTATTTTACTTTACTTTACTTTACTAACACAGAGTGCATATATATATATATATATATATATATATATATATATATA